AATCCCATCAACCTACATGACAAATTCCAAAGTCATTGTCTATCCTTGAAGACTATTCTCAACGGCTCCAACAAACTAGGGTCGTACGCACATAGCTTGAAAGCTTAAAAAACAAATTATGTCGGTGCACCAAAAACCATATTCAGTACCACTCACATCACATTGCTAATTATTTTTAGCAAGGATCACTGGCCAAATCTCATTACTGGCCAAATGTTTTCCTTCACTTTAGTTTCATTAAAACATATCCAATTAGGGTGTTGTGGAACTGAATATAAAAGGAACATGCATTTTTGTTCAATGGAAAGATTGGATCCCAAAACTTAAATTTAATGCAATATTATTACGATGGTATACATCTCTATCATTTGGTATTTTCATGGAGATTGGGCCGATGTTAGCTTGCCAAAAAGATTAAATAAACATACTCTAAAAGCATTATCTTGAATTTTATGAAAAAAAAAAGAGCATTATCTTGAACAAATAAAATTAATTTATTAAAATTAAAGAAAAATGTACATCAATTTTAATTTTAAAAAAAATTACAGTCTCAATTTTAAACAAAGTTATTTCATCAAATTAAAATATAATTTAAATTTTAAAAATTCATCTTATTAAATATTGATATATAAATTTAAAAATCAATTATATATTCTAATATAATTAGTTTTCAAATTTAAGAATCAATATTTAATAAGGTGAATTTTTTAATTTTTAATTAAATTTTAATTAAGCAAAATGATGTCCTTTAGAAGTTGGGACTCTGATTTTTTTTAGGAATTGAAATTGATATACACTATTCTCTTAAGATTTTATATTTACACACAGTAACGGAAGGAGGGGGTGCGAGGGAGGCGCTCACCTCTCTTGAAATTTGAAAATCTTTATAAATTAATATATGAAAAATTATCTTGTCTCCCTTGAAATTTAAAAATTTTGTAAATTAATATATAAAAAATTATCTCGTCCCCTTGAAAAAAATTCTGGCTCCGCTCCTATTTAATTACACTTAATTATATATTTACCCTATTTAACTCTCATATTACCTCTACTCTAAAATAATAAACTTTTTTTTATTCAAAATTTTTATTAGATTAACTATTATATTTTTTCATATTTTAAAGAATACAAATATTTTTTTCTATTTTAATTTTATCATAATCTATTAACTTTAATTAGCATCATTTCATAAAATTATATCTCTTATCTTTATCACTTTTTTAAGAGAAATATATGTCAATAAAAACATAAATTATCTCAAATTTAATTTAATTAAAAATAAAATAGAATAATTTATTATTCTAGACGAAAAGCAATAGTATCTTTTTAATGTGAGACTTCACATTCACATGTAAACCTCTTCCAGATATGGGAGTAGCAACTAGATGGACTCGATCTGAGCTTTACTTTTGGTTCCACAACTATGCATGCATACATGAGTAATAGGACCTTAACCTTGTGAGTTATCCTTTGAAAAATCTTTGAATTAGAAGTCTTCGTGTGCTCACCGTGACTTTTCCATCATTGCAAGATAGCGCAGGAGTACTGACAGTTCTCTTAATTAACAGGTCTCTCTCTCTCGCCCTTTAAGAGCAGAGAGAATGGGATTCCAAGTCCACAATTGCACCAGAACAAATTTAAAACCTTTAAAGCATCTTAACTATCTAGTTCCAACCTTTTACAGTTATACATTGACATTAAAACTTATGGACAGCTACTCTACAACTAATTGAAAGGGAGAAGAAGAGGCAATTGGTTAACCTTCTTCATAGAATGATCAATGACTAAGAATTTAGCAGAGATTAGATCACTTTAACACACGTATGTGCCATAAATAATGCCTCTAATAATTTGCATACGTGTATATACATATATATATATAAATTTTAAATTACACAATGAAATGTAATTATTTTTTATCCAATAACCTATTTTACTCGTATGTTATACCATTTGAACTTATAATCTCATATTTTTTATAAAAAATAAATTATAACTAAATTATTTAAATTATTGATATATTATGTATATTATAACCTATTATATGCACTGATCAATTAATATTGACTTAAAATAAAGAATGAAAGTGAGTGCAAAAAAGGAGGAAAGAGAGAAATTAAGGTAAATATATACTTTTATTTCCCTTTTTATCCGTTGACTTACTTCATACACATTTACCTAAACAAACCACAACTTATGACAATATATATGGTTTATAATGGAGGTTTAATTAATTTGGACCCAACATTTATATCTCCCTCCTTTATGATCCCACAACCAACACAGTACTCTTATTTTGGAACATATGCTAAGACAGACTATGACTTGACACCGAAGCTGCAGGGATTTGGAAAGACATGGAACTATACCCCATGTTGTTATATACCCAACAATCTCGGATATGCAGAAGGAAAAATGAAAAAGAAGAAGAAGAAGAAGAAGAAAGAAAGAAATGACTAAGACTTGACATGAAATATACTAATTGTTTTCTATCTGCCTCAATTCGTATTCAGAAGTTCCTCTATCATCTGTAGTGCAGCTCTCTCTTCCTCATCTAACCCACCCCCATCTTCTTTCCCCACCGCTTCCGGTGTCTCTGAGGCTGACATTTTCATGGCCTCTGCGTCTGGTCCGTTTTTCTTTCCTAACTCAACTTTCATGACCCAACTTGAATCGGACCGAGGCCCTGCTCTCTTCTGCCAAACTCCAATGTGAGAATTCTCAGTGTCAAGCCTCAGACAGGTAAGAGAAGGAGACGGATATTTGCAGCATTTCCGAAGCTTTGCACTAAGGATTGAAGAAAGCGAGTTGTTGGAAGAAGTGGAAGAGGTGGGGTTTTCATTAGTAGTATTACCGGTGGCAGCTTCCTTTCTGGCGCTAATCGGAAAATTTGTCTTGGCGTTGCGTCCGCTCATTAAAATGGCCGCTTCATCATAGGCCCGCGCTGCCTCTTCTGCCGTTTCAAACGTCCCCAGCCACACCCTTCTTTTCCTATTGCCATAAAATAAATATCTATCATCGAAACGTTCAAGAATCGGTTCGAATCCTTACAATAACTAAACACAAAATTTCTTTGCAGATGCGATTGAAAAAAATAATATTAACTTTTGATGATCAATGATCATCAAGATTACTTGAATTAGTTGTAAAAGAAAACCAGAGTAGGAGGGTTTATGAAGAAGAAATTGTACAGTAAAGGGTGGCGAATTTCAGAGACCCAAGAACCCCAGTGGCGCTGCCTGACACCTCTGAACTTCTTTGATTGCACCATTGCTGAAAGTACTGATGACTAAGTACTTGACACTTGAAATGTGTGAAGGGGCAGAACTACCAAGAGCAAGAGAGCTTTAGTTGGGCAGATCATGAGGTGGTCCAAAGGTAATATAGCAGAAGGAAAAGGTTGTGGGATTTTTATTTTTTTTTTATTCCCTCTGCAATGCACAGATACAAGTACTCTAACTCAATATATAAAAGTAAAATTACACTGAAAATGGTCCCAATAACAAAGCTTGCATCTTCTTCAAACAAAGAAAGGACCCTACCAACGGCTTGAGGCAATTAAATTCCCCCTGCAGCAAATAAAATGGCCAGGGAAAAGGTTGTGGGATGGAGCCTTTTTGTCTTTGGAAGCTTATATTTACATGACACGACACTAGTGGGCATATTGCTCCAAGTAATTGCTTTCATGTTTATGGATGATCTGCATATCCCGTACAATCCGGGGAGTTAATTCTACACAGCTTGAATATCCTCTTTGCTGTGTGATCCTTCAATGGGTCCACAAGTAAATAAAACAAATTTAAAAAATGAAATGACCGAGTCAAAGCCTACCATTTGCTTAATAAGTTTATGGATCAAACTCTACAAGTTTTAGGAACTAAAAATTAAGTTGTTAATGATGACTAATCATCATAATTACATACCAATTACTTACAATTCCATCCTTACATGAGATTCGTAGCATCACATGGAAGAATTGAACTTAATTGGGTCCTTATACTCAGAACCAAAAGCAAAAAATTGAAATTACTCCTATTTGGTCGTATGCATAATTGTTTAGGATTTGGTACTTGAGCATAACTATTTTTATTAAAATGTTAATTAGTAATAAGTTTGGCAAAAAACAGAGGTGGTACTCTGGTAGGTAGCGAAAATAATAGGAGTCCAATCACTGGTGATCCCTTTATTATCTGTGCTTCTAATTAAAGAAGGACCAAAGCCGAATCCATAACAGGGCATCAAACTTGCAAATGCTTTTGTCCTGGTGCTTGATTAGGATTTAGGAATATTGTTAATAGGGAAATCCACATTGAAAAATGCAAAGAGAGAACTTATGTGTGCAAATATAGTACATAGACTAGTGTATTTATTATCCATTAATTTTAAATTTATTCCTGTTTAAATCTCTACTATTTTTAAGTTGCTAATAACCATATATGATTCTCTTTGAAAGGACTCAAATGTGACGAATTCAATTGTAGATGCCAATTAAATCAGTGAAATGGCATAATGTTAGGAAGAAATGTGCACGAAAAAAAAAAAGAACGAAAAGAAAAAGAAGAGAATAAGAAAGGTGCACGTCTCTTCCATAAATTGCCAATGCCATGTTACGTCTTACATGCGGCACGTACACTCCAATTCCTAACCCATTATAATTTATCAAGGCATGGATATAATTTTACCTTTCGAAAGATGCTTGTACTGTACACCAAACTGGCATATCTCATCATTTTTATTCAAAGCTCATCAGTTATGTAAAACACATTTTCATAATTAATATACAAATTTGAAACATAAAATGAACATTCAACTTAAAATTAATTAATAATAGATGAAAAATCCCGTCACTTACATTGGCTAAATATCAACGAAATCATTTAAGGCTTTGTTGCCCTGAAGCTAACTCTCAAAATATTTAAGGCTTCGCACATGTTACCATAAAGAGGGCTTTACACATGCTTGTGTTAGGCTTGGTTATGGTTAGACAAAGAATTATAGCTTTGCATTACAAACCATGTCTAGCCAAAGCTGGAGACAAAGCTTGTGGATATAGCTATAGCTTATAAAAACAAGCTTCATAAATTTTTGTACTTAAATTAACTAGACCCCAGATAGAGCGGTCAGATAATGGTGATTGATGTCCAGAGGCTCGACCTTAATTAATTAAATTTGAAATTGTTTAGCTTTGTTTGATGTAGTTATTTCAAACAGTACATAATTTATAGTTATAATAATTAATATATAAATGATAATGTTTAAATTATTAACAATAAAAAGTATCAATTGTAATAAGATGTCTACTATCAACAATACCCTAAGGAGATGGTTTAGTAGTTAAAAACTTGAGATTTCAAGTTTGAATATTGAGTTGGGTAGGGAAGGATTTAAAGAAAGAAAAAAGTTATTTTCTTTTGTATAACCTATTATTAGCAAATGTACCAAAAAAAATAAATATCTACTATCAACAATAAATTATTCTAAATGAGAGACTATACTCTAGTGAAAGCATTAATGCTCATTGCATTGTAAATAGAAAAATAATTAAGAGGTAATTTTTTTACTTTATCAAAACCCGTAACAATGTGTACATTTATTTATTTTAATGATATGTAAAAATTATAAAAATAAATTAGCTACATATCATTATAGAAATATAAGAAGTACTAATATATAGTCATGCCCTCAACAAGGAATATGGAGGTAACCTAACCACTTCAAAATTTAAACCTAAATCTCTAATATGATAACTTAAGCTCTTTTATCTACTTGAGACATCTTTCGGTTGGTTACCCTGAAATGATTTTAGCGAACCGTTGACAAAAGCTTGAGCCCATGCTAGGAACCGATAGGGGTTGGATTGTATGTATAGAATTGGGCTTTTAAAATTTAATGAAGGCTTAGTTGGGTTCAGCCCAGATGGTCTTCTAAACAGGCCTAACATACATCATAAAATCAGTAAGGTTAGCATTGCAAAAAGTTGGACATTAATGGGCTATCCTCTCCAACCTCTTCATTCAATCCTGACAACTTTTACCAATTAAAACATTAATTTACAATCTGAATTATATCATATGACAAAACATTAATTATGAAATTAAAAAGGGACATCATAGAGGGCCTTCCATTTAATGGCTAGTAAATTGCAAAACACCTAACTCTTTTATCAAATACATAGGAGTGCTACAAGAAAAAGTAAAAACAACTGAATTGAACCATTGTTAACATGCTTGCTATTAGTACCACCGTTCAATTCTTAGTTGTTTTATTTTTATTTTTTAAAATTTTTAAACATTTAAATTAAATAAAAATTAAACATTAAAATAAATGACATTTAAAAATTAGTTTTGATCAAATGACTCAATAAGAATTAAAATGGAAAAAAAAAATTTCAATTATCATTTTCATATGTTTTGTTAAATTTTAATACAAAATTAATGTATAAAAAGTAAAAATGTTGCACCTGGACCTTACAGCCTAACAGTTATAGGCCGGCTTGTAAAGTGCATTCCCCAACCCGAAAGCTGGGGTTCGATTCCTCCCTCTTCCATAATTGTAACCTTATTAAAAAAAAAAAAAGAGTAAAAATGTTAAAATAAAACAACCAAAATTAAAGGAAAGGACTATTGCATTACCAACTGCTGTAACATAGCATCTAATTATCAGAAAAAATTGAAATGACATATTTTTCTATGATGAAGGTGGGCAACTCCTAACTCTAAAATCACACACCTCAAAAAAAAAAAAGTCTAAAATCAATGATGTAGTTGGGATTAGTTAAATTTTCAAAAGAAAAAGGTGAGTGTAATCATTAAAGTCTTATGACACCACACATTGTGCCCCTATTGCCGCCCACTACCATTTTTTTCCTTTTTGTCACGAGAGGTAGGGACATGAAATTCATAGGCTCGAGGTTAATATTTAATTTAATTATTGCTGCAACAGGGACTAAATTGTAATTAAGGTATGGTGGAGCTGGCTTAATGAGCTCCATACGATGGCCTAATGACTACAGTACATACCTGGTGGCAAGTGGCAACGAGGTTCCTTAACAATTAAGCACAAAATATGTGGGTTCAATCTTTCCTGGTGATTGACTTAAATTTGTGGAAAAAAAAATGTAGGAGTAGATTTCTGGCGAGATTATTGCTACGCGTACAATTATTAAAATCATATAATTAAATTTCTTTTTTTAATAAATAATTAGTTATAATATTTAAAAATATTATTTTATAAATTAATTTTAATTTATTGATTAATAATTATTTTTTTATTAAATTTATTTGTTTTAATTTAAGTTTGATCAAATAATTTTATATCATAAATAGATGATAATTAAAATTTTTTTCTTTTTATACATAGTTTTTGTTAGGTATTTTTATTTAGATAAAATATTTTTAATTATTATTTATTTATAACATAAAATAATTAAATTAATTTACATAAAATTAAGAGACTGAAATAACTAACAAAAATTAGAGAGGATATTAATTATTGTATCAATTATGAACTAACAATTGTTTTAACATTGTATCAAACTAAATAAAATTAAAATTTCATATTTTATAGTATAAACAGTATTGTATTATAAAATAAAAATTATTAAATGAAGAAGCACTTCTAATATTAAAAGATTCACCTTTATTTAGTAATTAAAATTGTGTAGTTAAATAGTTTAAATTGTAGGATAATTTTTTTTTAAAATTAA